CCCCCTCCCCCACACTTCTTTACCCTATGGCAACGCGTGCCCCAGTGGCGGCCTGGCCTGGCGGGGTTATACTGTAAGGGGGTGGGTCCATCGATTCGCCCCCACCCCCACCCGTTGCGCCCTCGTTGAAGCCATGGGGCGCCATGAGAGGGGGGCTGGGCTGGGGGCTGCGAGTCAGTCGGTAGGCTTCCTCCCCCCGTGCGAGACAAACGGCGCCGCGTTGTCGCAGCTCGCGGGGCTCTGCCGTGGCCTGGCGTGCCCGCTGCCCGCCCGCAGGCGTGCCAGACACGCGTTCACATGCTGCGCCCCGCGGCGTGGCCGTGTCGCTGTCAGCGGCTGACGGCGGCGTCCTGGCCGGGCGGAGAGTGCTCGTCCCCGACGTGAAGCGCGCGCGCGCGCGCGCGCCTCCTCCCAGAAGACACCAGCAGCAGCACATCCAACCGCAGCACCGCCACTTTCCTCGTTCACTTACCTATCCTAATTGGCGCACGGTGCACCGATTGATAACGGCTACCTGGACGACCTTGGGTCCTTTGCGAACGCCGCCGTGCACCTGCGCGGCCCCACTTCGGCCCCCCCGCGCATGGCTTCCTTGACGGCGTCGTCGTCGCGTCGGGGCGCGTAGCGTCGTGTAGCGTCGCAAAGCGCACAGAGCGATTACGCCGACGCCGAGCGCCGCTTTTCTCACCCGGCGGGCCCCACTTAGTCATTGGGCCGAGGCGAATCAGTGCCGACGCACCGTGGTGTGGTGGGCTGACGCGTCCGGCCCCCGTCCACGTACTGCTGCACGCACCCGGCCACCACCAGCAGCAGTGGCAGCATGGCCATCTTCAGGTGCTGCTTCGAGACGCAGCTCAGCGACTTTTTCGAGCCCGTCGTACAGAAGTGCACAGACCCGGGCTGTAAGTATCCCCCTCCCCCCTCTGTCTCATTACAGTTTCTGGCTGTCCATTCAAAAAACTTCCTCGTACGCTACGCCCCCCCTACGCCCCCCGCCGCTCCCGACACCCGAGCAATCCGCAATAGGGTATTCCACTGCAAGCCAACCGGAATCTAAAGAAGAAGAGCATGGCGGCTCGATCTGTTTCCCTCTGCGCGCTCATTGGCTGACCGCCACAGCTACGCCATCTTTGGCCAATCAGCGTTAAGGGGGAAACAGAATCGGGTAGTCATGATTTTCTTCTTTAGGTTCCGATTGTGTTTTAGCGGAATACCCTATCATGACCTATATCTGTCTGGCTGCGGGTTTCCGGACACACTATAGTTGGGATGCGATGGCACGGCACGTGTCATTCAAAATCTCGTTACTTTCGATCATTGTCGAATGAATGGGAAGTAAGTAAAGCAGTATGTACTACTGCCGGTGGCCGGTACTCTGAGAGAGACCAGAGAGACCGTCGGTATTCTTTCAACAATAAGACAGCCATCTCACAGGCTGAATATTGTCGTTGGTTTTGCTGCTTCGTCGGGCCAGAGTTAGCCTGAAACGTGTGTGATGTCGGATGAATCGACTAGACTTTACGACCGGCGAACAGGTATGGGCATGTGGAAGAATAGAAAGTCCTTAGGGAAAGTCAACGGAGGGCGACATGTACATTTCAAAGTTGGCGCCAAAACTGACATACCAACGAGCTGCGAACTTGGTTCAGAAAAATCGGCATTGCGAAGTCCAGTCCCGTGTCACTTGGTAGCAGGATTAGATTTGGCCCCTTTGATACATTTTTTATCAAGTGTATGGCAGATTTCGTATGAATATCAATTTCAGAATGCTATGGGCGTGTCTTTCAGAGCACCAGTCAAGTCAGTCACCGTCGCCAGCCAGTCGTGCTGGTGCTGAGTGCAGCAAGTTCGTGGGAGGGATGCCTCAATCAATGAAGTGCATTGCCTTAATATCCCTGTCATTCCCTGTAATTTATTAAAAATTCGAGTCAAATAAGTTGACTTTTGATTAGTGCTATGTTTTAGCAAGTCAATATTTTGTGTTAAAAGTTGTCTTTGAATTCCGGCGAGTCCACCAGTCTGTAAACCTAACCTCTGAGTGATTTACAAAGTTCTACAATGTCTCGTGGTAAGCTGTCGCTTTTATCTTATTACATTCATTCAACATTACTTAGGACTTACTGGATGACGGTGGATGGTATTTTTTAATGCTGAACCTTAGGGAACTATTTTCAGTAAACTCTTGCCTGTGAAACACCTAGTAACATAGGATCTGACTAGGCACTATTCACTATTGTCATGGTAACTTAAAACCATCGGCTCTATCAAAGCAAAGCGATAGATTTTATAAAATTTCATTTATTTACATTCCATTTTCAACATTTGTTTGTCTTAATTTGTGTTGTGATCTTTTTGTATGGAGTGCCTGGTTCTCTGTTTTTCCGTGTTTGACACCTATGATGAAAGATTATGCTTCTCATCCTTGTCTTCTTTTTACAGGTTGTTGCTGGTGCTGTTCAGCCTTACGGCCTCGGTATAAAAGACTGGTTGACAACATATTTCCCGTCAATCCCCAGGTACGAACACCTACCTTCTTTGGACCTTTTTGTAAAGCTTTACTTTGATTGGATTTTATTACTCTTTTATTTTCTCTACAGGATGGGCTCATTAAAAACAACATGGAAAAACTTACATTTTATGCACTATCATCCCCAGAGAAACTTGACCGAATTGGAGAGTATTTATACCAAAAAGCTGCAAGAGACATTTACCGGAGAAGAAATGGGTTTGTATTAAGCATTAAAGGCTGCCATTTTTTTTTACTGTGTTAAATGACATCTCATTGCTGTCCCCATTTCAGGCTAGTTGTTATCGCAATGGAGGCAATGGATCAGCTACTTCTAGCTTGTCATGCACAAACATTAAATTTGTTTGTGGAGAGTTTTCTCAAAATGGTTCAAAAACTCCTTGAATCAACTGAACCTCAGTTACAGATTTTAGCAACTCAATCGGTAAGACTTTATAAATTCTTTGTACAATGTAATTGTGGTTTGTCAATTGTTAATATTCTTCTAACATTGTCCTAAAATTTCAGTTTGTTAGATTTGCTAACATTGAAGAGGATACACCCTCTTATCATAGACGATATGATTTCTTTGTTTCTAAATTCTCAGCAATGTGCCATAGTAATCATACAAATCGTGATTGGTGCAATCAAATTAGATTAGCTGGCATTCGAGGGTTGCAGGTTAGTGTGGTATCACTTAGTAATTCAGTCCTATATTTATTTTGAGCGGCTACCTGAGAACTCTTCTTGTTATTGCAGGGTGTTGTCAGAAAAACAGTTTCAGATGATCTGGTTGAAAATATTTGGGAACCTGTCCATATGGATAAAATTATGCCATCATTATTGTATAATATGCAAAATGCCAGGTACAGTTTTAAATTTGTGGTAATCTGAAAATATAGGGGCTGCCCTGTCTTGTGTAGTAGGAATGCTTAAACATTGTATCGTTGCTTAGTTGAATTTTAATGCTTCGTTGCAGGTACCCTATTAGCCAGCCTGGTAGTCCTGCTCCACATGGTGAGGAGGACCGCCAAGATCCTCCAACCTTAGCAGAAAGTTGCATGCGAGAATTGGTTGGACGTGCCTCATTTGGGCATATTAAGAGTGTTTTGAGGCCTGTTCTCAGGTAAGTTTCTGGACTTGTTCTGTATTATCTTATGGATGTAGCAGGTTTTTCTTGTAATATACATCACAATCTACCTAATACAATTATTGGTTTTTAAAGACATTTGGATCTTCACAAACTTTGGGTGCCCAACGAATTTGCCATCCATGCTTTTAAAATAATAATGTTTTCTATTCAGGTAATGACATAAGTTTTTGCCTTATAGACTCTGTTTCTGTATGTATCACACCCTAATGACATTGTCTTTTGTTTTGAACAGTCTCAATACTCATATACAGTTGTTGAAACTTTAATGGCTCACTTAGATGATAACTCCACATCAAGTCCTGAAATCCGGACAAGTATTGCTGATGTTTTGTCCAAAATAATTGCCATAGCAGCTGGTGAAAGTGTTGGTAAGTTCAATTAATAAATTTTCTCACCACAGGGTGGGTGGGTGAGTGGGTGGGTGGGTGTTAGCCATCTTGGCTTTGAGTGCCAAAATTTTGGCATTCCCTTTCGGGTGCGCACCTAGTAAGCTTCGGGACCGGCCCTCGGCCCCGTCGGCCAGCGGGCTACCCCGAGCACCCACCCCCACACTGTATGTATTAATACATTTATCTAACTGAAGATTTTCATCTCAGGACCATCTGTTCTGGAAATTATAAATTCTCTTCTGAACCACCTGAGGGTGTCTGTTAGTAAATTAGCGAAGGCTGAAGATTCTGCAAGACACAAGCATGCAAGCAAAGATGATTCAACTCATGAAAAGTTGTATCAAGAAGCATTGATCAATGCTTTGGGTGAATTTGCTAACCATCTTCCTGATTATCAAAAAATTGAAATAATGATGTTCATTATGTCGAAAGTACCTCATTCAGAACAAGATGGTGATGTACTTTTGCAAAGTATGCTGCTGAAATCTTTGTTAAAGGCAAGTTTTCATTTATGTCTCACTAACTTTCCACATTTATCTTTCTCCTTTTCATTTCAAGATAATTTCAAATTCCAGAAAAAATTGTTAACATAACTTCTGTTTTCAGGTTGGGACAAAGTATCAAACTATTCAATTGAATCAAGCCTTCCCTGTTAACTTTTTGGAGCGGTTGCTGCGGATGAGTGTTGGGCCAAATCCAGATATGCGCCTATTAGTTAACAAAATATTCCATACTCTCTTAGATCGTCATCTTAATTTAGAGAAGTTGTTGAAACCAACGTAAGTACCAAGGAAATACTTCTCCTTAGTAGGTACATAGAGTACTTGAACTATGATCTAATCAGAGAAATCTTGCTTGCAGAGTTGATGTAGACAGCTTAAAATTGACTGTGACTAAATCATCCAGATTGGATGCTATCTTCATTAGAAAACATGGAGGAGATATTTTCTTGACTCTATATGAAAGTCTGGAACTTCCAAGTAATACTGTGGAGAATATTGAAGCTGCTTATACCACAACTGCTCTTATTTGTATTGAACTGGTATGTGAAGAATCAGTGTGCGATCTACTCCGTCTCATCATGAGTATTCAGGTAAGTGAACTTTAATATTTCTTACTGTGCATTATGTAAGTAATCTTGATGCTTGATGTGGAATCGTTCTTTTATTTTCAGGATCTTGCCTTGACAAGTTCTAAACTTTCGTTGCATCAAAAATATCAACTTCATGCTGTAGTGGCTTCTCTTCTAGCCCTTGTGCCTCACTGTGTGCCCTTATCAAGTTTACAAACATATGCTGACAAGGTAAAAGATCATAGTCATTTTTATTTCTACCGTGCATCATCATCTTCTAATCTATTAAATTTGATCCGTTCCATCCCCCCCAGATAATTGCCACTCGCATTGCAAAGGCACCATACCTTCTTCCTCCCTTAATGAGGCATTATGACTCAACTACAGTCCCAGCCGGTGATGTTCTCCTTGACCAGCCTCAAATTACAAGTTGTCTTGCTGAAGCTGGCCTAGATGCAACTCAAATGGCTCGGCCTCACACGGGAAGTCTGCAGCACCGCCATTCATGGGTATGTATGTCTATTTGAACATATGTGTGGTTTGGTGTTTTCACAGTTTAACACCCTTGATAACATTTTTTTGAATTGTGAGGTGTTTGACATGTTTATGTTTCTTTAGGTTGACAGTGGGATGGGAGGAAGTGCTGCTGAACTAAACAGCATGGAAGTTGACAGCGTTTCATCATCTCCAGGAGTTGTAAAGGTGAGGAGAGTATTAATTTCTACTCCACACTGATCTTTTTAAGGTTTTACTTTACATCTAAATTATATGCTGACAGAAATTCCCTGAGGAAGAACTCACCTTTGAATCCCTGAAGAGAATTCTTTCACCAGAAAATGTTGAATCTCGCAAAGAGGCAGATGAAGAAAAACGTCTTCGTTTATGTGAAACATACCGCAGTGCTTCTTTTACTGAACTTGTCCAGCACACACAATCAAAGGTAAGTCTATAATGAGGTATAATTGAAGCACTCTTTGAGTATTATGTCAACATGCTGCCAACTTGTTATTTTCTAGGGTGACATCTTAAATGACAAACTTAACCAGCTCCTTAAAGGATTGGCAACAAAGCAAACACTTCGTTATTTATCTGAACGCCGCGACACTGAACGAGAAAGGGAACGAGATGATGACAGAAAATCAGAGGCAGATAGTGAAGAGGAGAGAGATCACTTCGATCGCCATTCACCTCATAGCCATAGTCGATCACATAGTAGTGATCATCTTCCTCCTGCACCTCAACCACTATATGAAACCCTCTTCCCTGAGCTTTTTGTGTACTGAGCACCAACAACCAACTCTACTGGTAAGATTGTTTTTTCTTAAATTGTTCCAGGTTTATTATATTGAATTTCTATTGTTGACATCACATACACAAATGTACAAAGTTTTTACTTTGCTCTACCCCAATCATACTTTCTTGGTCACAGTGCTTTAGCACAGCAATCTCTGCTCCATGATTGTGGTTCAATCCAAACAATTCTTCAAATACTTGTTTGGCATTGGAACTGAGAAATTTCATTTTGAGTACTGACCATTCATACATACATACATAGTTGCAATTTTCAGCTTGCAGCATTAGTCCCTGTGATAGTTATTGAGTTTCTATCCATCTTAAATATTTCTACTGGCTGTAAAAATGGGAATTGATCTCCCAAACATAGGTATGTGCCTTCAGAGGTTATTATTTTTTATCAAAGCTAGTTATTTTCCTTGAAAGAAGATACTCCTGCTCACCAGTACATGGCATCAAATCATTTTTTTGACCTGCATTATCTTTAATGCAACACTCCATTGTCATTTGTTCATATTGTCATGGTAGGTAAGGTAGACATGTCTTCCTTCTCAATCTTTTTGTCCCCCTCTTTTTAAATTGTGAATTCTTCTCACAATGATGTGGTGTAGGTATACTTATTAACTATTGTGTAGTTTGATATATTTGTTGTGCTTCGTTAAAGCGCATATATTTGATGTTGATTCTTCAGAATTTTATGTGACAATAAGATTTTGCATAAAATAATTGTTATTCACTCCTATTGATATTGATTATCAGTAGTGTTCACCAACATATTAATCGAAAGCTATTTTTGTGCTTCTTATTTCTCTTGCTCTGGAAAAAGTATGTTAGGGCACTCAAGGTGATAGCTGTCTTTGCATCATGTATAGTACAATCTTCGTACACACACAACACTTCTTTGATTTTCTTGCTGTGATAAACTGGTTTAGAAGGTTGAATTTAAACATTAAACATTTCTGATAGTCTACAAGTTTAATGACGTAACTGGTTAACTTTTAAAAGCAATTCTGTGGGTTTTTTCAATCTACATGTTTATCTGATTCGTTTGGGGACTTTCTTTCACCTTCAATATCATCATCTCATTATTTTTGAAATTTAAATTGAAGATGTTACTTATACTTTCATTTTTTATTTTTCTAACATTCTCATGTGGTTCATTTTCATGTTCATATTCATATTATACTTGGTGGTTTTTTGTCTTCTGTGATTGAAGCTCTTTGGAGCAGTGACTCGGTAGTCTCCCATCTTCAGTTTTGTTCATATTGTCATGTCATTTACAACCCTTCTTCAAAACTTACTTTGGTAGAATCTTATAGATGTTGTCTAGCATTTCTTCCATTGTAATTCACTGACAGTTCAAATAGCTAATCAAGTAAACTTTGATTGTAAGTTGTAAAGCAATACATACATACATACTGTTTGTGTAATCCAACATTTTTCTTCTTAGTCCGTTGATCTTCTGATGGACTCTCAACTGACATCAACTTATCTACACCTGCCACTGACAAACAAAAAAAAAAAAAATTTACTTACATATGGTTGCATCAGGAGGCATAAAATGTACATTTATTGTTTTTGTGTCATCAAACTTTGATCTTATGAAAGCTCTTCTTGAAGTTGCTGACTTGTCTTACATGTCTTTAATAGCTATTCATGTCATCACACAACTGCTCTGTCACAACATGAATGAGTTTGTAACAGAGCATTATTTTGGCTAATAGCCTACAAATTATCATCAAAATCCACAGGCACACATCAAACAAAAAAGTGGGCAATCCTCATGTCAAACGTAGCAGTTATAACTGATTATTTCATGAAGATTTTTCTTTATGAAACAAAATAAACATGGACAATCAGATGGGCAACTACAATTTTTACACAGTGTGATGTCAGTTCTTCACCTACTCTAAATCCAGACGTACCAAAGCCCTGGCCTGGGTTCTTGCATATTGTTCAAATCCTAGATGAATATCTGGTTCATGATTCAATTCCTTTTAACATAACCCCGTGTCCATACAAAATTGGTGTAGAGTGGGGTATTGACGCATGGGGTATTGACACATGGGGTATCGACGCGTGGGGTATCGAGGCGTGGGGTCCCGACACGTGGAGTAGCTCCGCAAGGCAGGAGCTACCCCGCGCCTTGAGCGTTGCTTCTCTCCGCCTCCATACTCCTTTCACTCCTCACCTTGTTTTGCTATAATTGTTCACGGCATTGTCCCACCCCTTGCGTTGGAGGGGCAAGTAGAGGGTGTGGCAGGAAGTCTAGTCCGGTATCATCCGCCTGCTCGCTTCTAATATACAAACAACCAGAACACCCACACTCTTAAGAATTATTTTTCAAACTGACAGAGAATAACTGATTGTAAAATCAGGAATACGACAGTAAGTGTCATTTTGCAAACTGCTCGCATAAAATCAGAGGACAACATTGATTAAAATATTAAGAACTGTTATTTGGGACTTACAATTAATTTTTCTGCAAATTATTTTGACTATTTTGTCAACTAATGATCATTCCTAAGTTTTCAACAAGTTATTTGTAAACTTTCA